ATATTTATCAAGTGGAAATAGGGCAAAAAAGTCCGCTTTCAGATGATACCAATAACTCCAAATGCCCAAAATTTGACGAGCGCCTGGTTCCACCGCGTCGAGACACAAATTATTTTCTACTCTCCTTGAGTTGATATTTACTGAAACAACTGTCTCAGCATTATGGCAAACTGGGAATGTGTGACTGACAATTCATCAGTCTACGGTCCTAGTGTGCTTCACTTTGTCCTTCCTCTTGTACCTCAGGGGCATCGAGGGGAGAAAGAGCTTTCTGTCTCTAGCACGTCGGATGGCTTGGCCAGGTGGAATGTTGTAGGGTATCCTTCACACCCTCGATCCCGTATAAAGATCAACAGCCATAATAATGTAATATCTAGGAGAACGGGTTATAAATACTCATTTACACGAGTGCACATATATAAATGTAAAGGTCTTTATATACGATAACTTTGTTCCCACCCCAACTCACAACCCCACCTACAAACAAAAAAAAAAGACGAAAAGAACAAATACACAAACATAAAAAACTAACTCATACAATAAACAGATACCGGCCCCGGTCTTAAACTGTACGACCACAATGTTTGAGTTGAATCTTTTGTTTCCTAGGCCAAAATATCACCCCCCCCACACACACACACACACACACACGCACGCACAAACACACATACACACACACACACACACACACACACACACACACACACACACACACACACACACACACACACACACACACGCACACACACAGCAGAAAACATCCCTTGAATTGTGTCACCATAAACGTTTTACCACACGAGCTAATAACAAATTATGTCAAAGTCAAGAAAGAGGACAAAACGAAAGTGAAAGTGTAAAACAAATGTTGTATTGCATAAATGACGATAACAGCAGAACTGCATGGGGAATCAACACAACGATGAAAAAAACCCGCTGTTGTTCTCAACAAACATGATACAAATGAATAAATCTTACCCTTCAAATACAATTCTGTGGCGTAAACATGTAACACATTACCCTGCCGGAGCCCGAAATATCAAATGAGTTTTAATTAAAGCACGTCTGGAATTTGAGAAAAATATTATAACATTATGCATCTTTCTAGTGTATTATAAGACATAATCCTATCATGCTATAAGTTAAGTAAGTGCATGTTAGAGTGGACAAAGGTAGTTTGGGTGCATAATGCTGTGGTCAAGGCACTTGATCCAATCAACAGACTGCTATACAATTATTGATGTGAAGGAGGGCGGGAAGACAACCAAAAGCTGGGGCTAACAAGACGCGCAGTAGTTAACTCTATCCGAACCCTCTGGGGTCATTTTGTACCCCGGGGCTGTATTCTTCACATTTTAGAATACTTCTAGTACGAAGATCTCTTTGAAACTGCTATGCAAAGCGTACGGGTCGGATTAACGAGTAAATTTCCTCTTTGGAAAGTGGTGGCACAGAGTTCCCCACGTCGTATGGATACGATAGTAAAACACGACGTGCGGAGAGGGTTAAAGGAGCGCGCGAACTCTTGTCGTCTGTAACTTTATGTTTTGTTCTTACCTTGTGGCAGGGATTTCCTATACTTAAGGTGAGCCATACTTCAGTGGTGGAACACATCTTTATAGTATTATCTTCAACGCAGCTAATAAATATGTCGCACTAACCATTTCCCTTTTACATGCGTCCATGCATGCACACACATACAAACAAACGCACATACGCATGCATTCACGTAAGCGCTAAAGCACGCAAGCAAACACACACACTCACACACACACACACACACACACACACACATACACATACACACACACACATACACATACACACATACACACACATACACACACGCACACACACACACACACACACACATACATAACCCCATCCACATACATACACACACATACACACCCATACACACACATACACACTCACACATATTTGTTGATTACAAATAACGTAATAAAAATCGGCAGCCCAAAGCATGATTTTATCTGACGTTTAAATCTGCTTCTTATGGTTCTCCGTGTCCTTCAAGCAAGCTGCTGAAATTGAACAGAAATCGAAGACTGCAAAAATGTGTCCGCACCAGAGTGGCTCTGAAAGTCGAATAACGAAACAAAATAGGAAATCCCCGCTTTGGGGTAAACATGAAACACAATCATGCTGGAAGAAGTTCACCCTCCGCGCCCACAGTCAGTTTTTTGCCATTTTCTCAAATTCTGTTTGTTGCATTGCTTTTTTTTTTGTTTAGAATTTTGTTTTTGTTATTTTTATGTGTTTGTTTTAATGTTGTTGTTTTGTTGTTTTGGGGGTTTATTTGTGCTAACATTCTTACTTTTGTCATGATTGTCATGCCTTAAGATTGTCATGTCTTTTAATCTTTACGTTAAACGATTTATTCAAAGCTGCGAATTAATTTGATCTTTTGAGAATATCCCAAGTTTTCTTACCAGAACCTTCAATTCTACAGTAACGAAGGGATTTATCCATTGACATGACATTTTATTTCTTAACGCACTTTTGGGAGTTCTAGAGCACGAGAAAAATGTGTAGGATAACGCAAATTTATATGTCAGCACCAGTGAGAAATACTCATCGTTGGTAACACATGATCTTGGAAGTGTGTAAGCCATTCTGAATGTTGTATATTCTGGCACGGGAATTTGTAAAGAACAAAAAAGAGAAGAATTAATCATTAATGGCTTCAGTTTTCCCATTGCCAAAAATATTCTCGAGAGTCATTTACATTTTGTTACCTCAGAATAATAATAAAGTTCTATCTGACATTTATTGGCTGCGTTGAGTTACTAAGACCATGAGGCCAGAAATCGAATGGTCTAGCAGCTCTATCAAAATCGTCAGATTATTCAGAGTCGTTATTGAGCTTTTGAAAAGCTTGACGTGACGTGAAACTCAGAATCTTTGACATCAATTTCTCAAAACTAAGTACTAAGTAGATAGAACTATGTGAGTGGTTGGCGTATGCTCTGGTGTGGTTTGCTTCTTCTTTCCTGTCAAACATCTATCGTCCTTATCTCCCCTTCTTTTTTATGTTTGTTTCTCTCTTGTAACAGCTCTAATCTTCTGGCGCTCATATGACCTTATGCAGTTGCGAGCGCCGTAAAACTGTGTACAAAAACTAAAACTAAGATAGAACTATTTTAAACCCGAGAAGGAACCCCTAGTGTATATATTAGTCAAGAGATAACTGAGACATAATGGTCCTGTCAGTGGCAGGAGAAAGTGAACAGACCACAGTCTTACTAATCTCAGGCACTCTAGTGCCTTTCCGCCTTTTGGAACTGAAGATAATGATAATGACAAAATGAGCAATGATAGTATACGTTACATCAACAAAACAAATCATCAATGCCAAGCAGCCTTACAACGGGACCTGCATTCTCTCCCCCGCCTTCAGATAAAGATAACGGTATATAACAAAATGAATAGATTCATGGTTAAAATTCAGCAAAGGAACAGGACAAAGCAAAGCAAAGAAAAGTAAAAAACAAAAAACAAACAAACAAACAAACAAACTAGGAAGCAATAAATGTTAAGTGCATAGATCGATAAATAAATGAACAAACAAAATCAATCAATCAATTAATCAATCAATTTATCTAAGAGGAAAACATGAAAGAGAAAAGAACGTAACAAAGAAAAGAAGGAAAGGAGGAAAAAACGAAAGAAAGAGGGATTTAAAAAAGGATGAATAGGGGAATAAAATATTTAGAGAGCTCAAATATGTTGGGAAAACATGTTATCCAAAAATCAAATATGCTGTAAAAATATCTTCAAGGCTTATTGAATGTTCCACGCTCCACCCCTGTGTCTGATAATTATGTCACCTGATAGCTTAATATCAACACAAGATAACTAGTCTCAAACAGGGTATGATTAATCGACTTAATGATAATAAATAGCATTTGTATAGCGCATACCCCCGCTCAAAAGCAAGCTCTACGCGTTTTACACTATATTATTACCCCAGCAGACCATAGAACACACCGAAACAGTCTCGGCTTCCCTGGAAGCATACAGTGCAAGCAGCAGATTACTGATCAAACACTAACGAACTGACGAGTTTTTTTTTACAGTCAAACAAAATTCAATCTCTTGCAGTGCCTTACAACTCCATCTGTAGACCCCAGAGCCTCCCAAGTTGTCGTGGTTTGGTTTTCTGAAACACAGACCACTCTTCTACAACACTAGGAGACTTAGCCTCTCTGATCTTCAAATTTAACAACTTGATTTCTCTAATCCATACATAAGACTCAACGTCTGATAATTCGATTATTTTTACGAAGTGATTATTTCTCCGAACGCTCTGGAAAATAAACTTGACCTTTAATTCTCCGAACGGTTTCCGTTCTCGAGATTTTGTGGTTATTTGCGAGAGTTCCGCGCCATCTTTCATTCTGCCATTTTTCGAGAACTGGGAAGAAGCTTTTTTTTTGCATTGAATTCAATTTCTAGAGCTAGAGATTTTTAAATGTCAGAATATTCAGATACTTCAATTATGGTTGGGACAACGTTGCGGACTATACTTCTTTTGAAAATGCCTTCAAAATGAATCAAAAGGTACCGCGAGAAAACAAAACTGCTCAACCCTGGCAGTAACCTATTTCACATATTTTAGTCACCCTTAAAGCAAAAACTATTTTTTAAAAAAATCCACCACGCCTCCACCCCATACCCCTCGTTCACACCTTATACACACACACACACACACACACATACACACATACACACACACGCACACACACACACACACACACACAAACACACACCCACACACACAACACATACATCCGTGCGTGCGAGTGCCACTCCATTCGCAAATAACCAAGAAATCTCGAGAGCGGAAACCGTTCGGGGAAATAGAGTTCAAGTTTATTTTCCGGAGCGTTCTGAGAAATAGAGTCGGCCTTATTTTTAACCTTTAAATTCCAATCCAAGAACCCCAGAACTAGTGTGCATTATCATCTCACAATTACCCCTCACAACTCACACTCGCTCAGAGTCTCAAAGTCGTCCGTGTACTGACTGTAGTTGAGTGTGGTGTTACTCTGCAGCTTAGATCTGTCCCCACCATCCCTGAGGCGAGAGCTGTTGCCTCGACTGATGTCATCCAACACAGGGGTCGGGCCGTCCGACTTGCTCATACTCAAAGGTCTCATGCCGCTTCCTTTCTGCGGCAACCCGAAAGGGGGCGTGTCTGCATTGATCTCATTTGCAGGATTGACTGTGATTGGATCTTTGGACTTGTTCAAAGGCTTTATGCTACCGCCTCTCTGAGGTAAGCCCATAGAAGGTGTGGCTATAGGCGAATCCTTGGCTGAATCGGTTGTGATTGGATCTTCTGACTTGTTTGAAGGCATAATACTGCCCCCTCTCTGAGGTAAGCCCATAGAGGGCGTGACTATCGGATCATCCTTGGCGGAATCGGCTGTGATTGGATCTTCTGGCTTGTGCAAAGGTCTGATACTGCCGCCTCTCCGTGGCAAACTCATACGGAGAGCAGACTCTGTTTTGTCTGAGGGTGACTCGGGTCTGAAAGGATCCACTGGCTCGTTCGGGGGTCTGATATTACCTCCCCTAGGGGGCAAACCCATGGTGCTCATGGCTATGTCATTAAGCCCCTGGGTCCACTCTGGATTGTTCAGGGTCTTCTCACCTCGGGTGTTTTCTCGTCCAGGATTCTTGTTCATATTGTTCGTGTTACTCCTGTTGTTGTTGTTGCTGGTGTTCTTTTTTGATTCACTAAGGCCACTGCTGAGCGTTGAATCTTGCCTGGCGTCCCTTGCTCTGTTGTCTTTGAAGGTCCCCGCCTGTTTGTTGGCAGACATCTTCTTCTCCCTGGGGTCGACAGGCTCCACGGTGATTGGCTGGCGGGAGCGCCCGCGGGAGAGCAGCGGCGCCTCTCGTGTAAAGTTTGCCATGGCAACGCTCTCCGGGACGCTGTCTAACGTGCCCAGGCGGTGGCGGAAACCTGTAGGCGGAGAGCGGGAACAGCCGTTAATGGTGATGGTTTATTTATAGCGATTGGTGATGATGATAATGACTATAGAGATACTGCTGCTGCTACTACTACGCGATACATAATAATAAAAATAATAATAATAATAATAATAATAATAATAATAATAATAATAATAATAATAATAATAATATGACAATAACAATAACAATCACTACCACTTACATCAGCAATGTATCAGTAATAAGGACAAATAGCATCTTTATAGCGCATTTCCACTGGTGAGTGCGCTTTACAATAATGCAGAGAACATAAATATACTGCCAAGATCTACTCGTACTTTATTGTCGCATCCAAGAATTGCTGGTGGGTCTTAAGTGTTTCACTGCTAAAAGTGAAGCATTCTGGGCTAACTATGGTCATACAGATATAAACTATTACACTCCAAATGGAGGCAATGGTTGGGTTGGGTTGAGGGGGGGGCCGAGGGAGGGGGGTGAATGCAACAATAAGGCATAAAGGAAAGAGAAAGACTTTATCTATCTATCTATCTATCTATCTATCTATCTATCTATCTATCTATCTATCTATCTGTTCATTTTTCTCTGTCTTTGTCCCTGCCACTTTCTCTTTCTCTCTCTCTCTCTCTATCTCTCTCTCTCTCTCTTTTACCTCTCTCCTGCCTCTCTCTCTCTCTCTCTCTCTCTCTCTCTCTCTCTCTCTCTCTTTCTCTCTCCTCTCTCTCTTCCTCGAAAATCTCAGAAAGTCACACACAAGGAGATATAAAAAAGACCGCCACCGTTAAGCACATTCTTCAAACCTGTTAGTCTTTTCACAAATATTTCTGTCCAAGCACCAGAATACAAAAAAGACAGCGAGGGAATGCCCTAGGAACAGGAAAGCCCTTAAGCAGAAAAAAACAACAGTTTGCAATGAGAAATGACTACATTTTGCCTTTGGGTATTTTCAGTGAAACAAGCTAAGCAAGTTCAATAATGAAAGCATAAAAACTGCATCTCCCCTTGACGCTTAAAACGGCAACAGGGCATGGAAAAGTAAAAAAAATAAAGTGAATTAAGTAATGTACATTTACTTAAGAAGACAGTTCAGAGTTGATTAATACATTCTTTGGCACAAATGTAACTTAGTAAGAAAGAGAAACAGGATACTAGAACCAGACGAACTAATGCTCAGTACAGAGGTGGAATCCAAAGCCATCATCAGCATTGAAGTAGAAATAGTTACAAGATGTAAAAATCAATCACATTTCCAAGACGTACTTTCCCAACACCTTTTTAATGCATCACGACAATGAAAAACTACCACCGCAAGGCATAAATGTAGGATAAAAGGAATAAAAAATAGTAGGCATATAGTTAAGTTGTGTGTGGGGGGGGGGGTGGAGGATTGTTGGTTTTCAAAGAAGATAAAACCCTTATATTACAACCCCTACACCCCTCCCAGCATGTCTTCGTTGTATTTTTTTTAAGTAGACCTCCCTACACGAAAAATATCTCGGAGGCCGCGTGTGCAAGCTGCGGACGTTAAAGATCCCTTGGTGGTAAAAACATAGATGAGAGAGGGCTTCGGCCGCCACCCGGGCAAAATTCAAAATAATTTAACGTCAAAACGTAAAGTGCTTCATGCGTCCCCCGCGCTATTAGGACCTTAAGCAGTTGCGAGCGCCGTAAAACACTTACCAAAGCAAAAAGACCTCCCTATACAAAGACATTATGGTGTAGAGGTCTCAAAAACACAGAAGGAAAAAAGTTAATCTAAATATTGAAGAATTCTTTGTTTAAATGTTCCACACAGCATTGTTACCGTCCTGGGTGGACATTTCAGAACATGGTGCGGCTGTTTGTGTTTGTTGCTTTGCCATGGGACAGCTGTTTGTTGTGGGGGTAGATGAGGACTTTCTATAAGTGGGGAATTGTGGTGAAATTAGGCGCAGGTCAAAGTTATGGAACCAAAGAAAACGACATTTTCCCCAATAGTTTGGCAATTTGCATCGCCATTTAAAAAAAATATTTTTTGAATTTTTAACATTTTTTGGGGGGGGGGGGGGGGGGGGGG